AGCTGACACCAGAATATGAAGGCAGTGTGTACAGGGCAACAGATGGCACCATGAAACTACATGATCAATGCACATCCTATGCAGGTGAAAAACACAAGGTGCAAGTAGGAAGGTGTATAATACCTTAAGCAACACCTATGGTCATATTTAATAAAGCAGTGAATCTGACATTCACCAAACATTCATTGTTGGTGAATCTTCCAGGTGCCTGTGCTTAAAATGACAGTGATTGATTCACGATCAGTGAATATTTTGGAAAAGTCACAATCACTACTTAATAAATAAGTCTCAGGTTCCCCCGGAAGACTCATCTTTTCTTCATTATCCATCCGAGATTGCTGCAGAGGCTGCTGGGAATTTTGGACAACTGTGAGTGGTGAGTGAAATTCCTTACCTCCTCTTGGCTGCAAAATGATGACCGTTCTTCTGAACACTGGATTACTGCATGAGAAGAATCCACTGCCGTGTCTTATCAATAAATAAATAATTTGCGCTAGTAAATGTGTATAAAATATATAAATATATATAAAGAAATCATCAAATCATAAGTCCAGAAAAAAAATATATATATGCCAATACCACAAAAAAATATATAAAAAAACTTTTAAGTGCAAAAAACTTTTGTGCAAAAAAAGTGTCTAAATATGAAAAATTTCACCAAAAAAACCTTGATAATATAATGGCAGATCATCCATAAATATATCTTCAGAAACGGAAACTCTGCAACACACCGATCCTCATCGATCGAAATAACAAGATGAAAAAACTTTGTAGTTAATTGAAAATCCACTTCTCCAATAGATAAAGGACCACCTTCAAACGTATCCATGGGGGGAAATGCCAAGCACTCGAGAGAAACAGAAAGACTTCATGGTGCAATATTATAAAAACCAATTCCTTTATTAGGTACTCATTGCACTTACTCAAGAGGTGTCCCAGCCGACACCAGCATCAACAGCATAACAGCAATCACATAAACGAGCCTGGCTACTCAGCACATGCGCAGTAGCTGGCAGCCAAAAACGTAATGACGTCACATCAATCAAGCTCCGCCCTACGCGTCCTTTCGTCATCGACGTCCTCACGGAGCGGATAGAGGACGTCGATGAACCACGACAAACAAAGTTTGTTAAAATCCTTGCAATGTACATAGATGTACACCCTTGTCTGATTGGACACATCATTGGGTTTCAGTGCGAAGTGTGCAGAAGAGTTTGTACAAACTTGAATTTTTTAGAACCAGAGGGGAATGTTCTTTTCTCAACAAAAGTGGATTTACTCTTTAAGTAATTGGTTTTATTAAAAGTGCATTATTTATTTCAGGTACTTATATAGCACTGTCAACCTACACAGTGCTTTACATATATATTGTACTTTCACATCAGTCCCTAATTCTCAAGAACACCCAGAGGGGGGTGTACAATCGAAGGTCCCTAACTCACATTCATACATACACATACTAGGGACAATTTAGACAGGAGCCAATAAACCTACCAGCATGTCTTTGGAGTGTGGAAGGAAACCGGAGTACACCTACGCAGGCACAGGGAGAACATGTAAACTCCAGACAGGTGGTGCTGTGGTTGGGGATTCAAACCAATAACCATAGTACTGCCAGGTGGAAGTGCTAACCATTTAGCCACTGTGCTGCATTAACATGCAATGGGGTAGATTTACTAAAACCGGTGCAGCTGTACATGGTAACCAATCAGCTTCTAACCTTAACTTGTTCAATTAAAGCGGAGCTCCACCCAAAAAAGGGAAGTTCCGCTTTAAGCCTTTGTCCCCCCCGCTCCCCATTAAGGATTGGCATCTTTGGGGAGTGGTTACCCGAATTTGACAGGTACCCTCTCCCACTTCAGCTGCGATCGGCTAGGCGATCGGAAGTGAAAGTTGTCCTCCTCCCCTCCCTCTCAGTAGTCTTCTGGGACACGTGATAGGTCCCAGAAGATTACGGGGCCATTCACAATGCGCAGCGCTTCTCGCGCATGCGCAGTGGGCACCTGGCTGTGAAGGCACTAGCTGTCACAGCCGGGTACCCACACTGAAGATGCCGGCACCAGTGAGAGAAAACACCAGCGTGGTGAGGACACAGCTGGACCGAGGGACAGGTAGTGTCTGTATTTGTACAGTTTTTTGTAGCTCCTAATTTTTTTTTTTCAGCTGGAACTCCGTTTTAAGCTTCAGCAATAAAGCCTGGGAACTGGTTGGTTCTTATGCAGATCTGCACCAGATTTTGCACTCTCAAGTTTTAGTAAGTAACCCCCCAATGTATCACCCAAGCCTTGAGATCCTCAAAGTAGAACTAAAGGCAAAACTTTTTTTTTTTTGATTGAGTAAAGCTGAACAGACACTGATCCAGCAGGGACCAGCAACATTTCAATCAGTAAGTAGGATTCTCTACTCAACAGAAGTCAATTGTTTGAAGCGGAACTAAAGGCAAAATACTTACCGCCTCTCGAAGGGTCTAGTTTCCTTATTGGCACCACAGCTTCTCCCCAGGTGCAGGTCTTCTGGCATCTCTATTGGCCAGCGTGGGATGATGTAACTCCTGTGCATGCGCAGGGACTGTGCCAGCGATGTAAGCTGAGCTACACATGCACTGTTCAGTTTACATGCCGCAGAAGACTAGGAGCAGGCAGGTAAGTGGATTTTATGACGAAAAAGACATTGCATGTCTCTTCTGTGATATTAGTCTGCCTGGTCGCAGTCTGTTGTAAAATGACTTTGTTTCCACTTGAATTCATTTTTTTTGAAGGGACGTATTTAAAAAAATTTCAATAAATCAGTGCTGATCAGCATATTCTGACACTGTGGTGAGTACCGCTGTCAAAAAACAATGCTCCAGCTGGAGGATTTCCCCAAATCTACCTCATTCATGTGGATGGAGTAATCTGTTAATTTTTGTTGTTCAGCCCATTGGTTGAATGAAAACAAAACTGACCATGTATGGCCAGTTTAAGGAAAGGTTATAACACCTGTCATTTTTGTTTTTTTTTCTTTTGTCCTCTGTGTCCCCATTGGGGAGATTTCCTGTCACTTCCTATACCCATAGCCAAAATAGGAAGTGATAGGTAATCCCTCCAAAGAGAGGGAATCACTGGTGGTCCCCAGAACTAATGTCCCCATTGGAAAATTTCCATTCAATTCCTGTTCTAGCGGTAATCCAAAATGTGGAATTCTCTTTCACTTTCCTTCTGGATGATATTAGTAAACAGGACAAATAGAGGGGGTGAATCTCCCTAATTGTGACACAGACAACAATAAAAACCTGACAGGTGTTGTAACCCCTCTCCACTCCATCCAAAACTTAAAAAAAAAATGCTTTTAGTTATACTTTAGCCTTTTGTTGAGACAGACAGTGTGCACATCTAGTTTACAACTAATAATGAGTTCAGCCAGTACAAACACAGCACAGAGAGGGTTAGTTATGGTAAACATAACTCCCCAGCCCCCTCCTTAACAATACATAGAGGGGAAAATCTAAGTAGGATTTTTCAGCACATGAAAAGAGAAGCAGCCATTTTATTAAACATTTTGAAAAACGTTATGCTACAGTATGTTATAGGGAACATGTACAGTGGGTATAGAAAAGAATCGCCCCCCTTTAAAATAATCACATTTTGTTTCTTTTCAGCCTGAAATGAAGACAGACACAGTTTTTGTTTTATCCAGCTGTACTTTTTCAGTGCAATTTATGACATCCAAGTGAAAGATATAACACCAACATGTCAGGAAAAAAAATGTAAAAAACAGAATCACTGAGTTGGATTCTTCGATTGATTCTTTTCTATACCCAATGTAAGTAGGTGTTATTTCAATTTGCCTGCAAAAGGGGACATAGACTTTACCTGGCAGATGCTGGAGAATTCGCCCTCATGCACACCTGACGTTTTGCTAACGCTGTTAACATTAGCTGTATAAAATGACGTTAAAAACGTGAGTTTTTCAGCTTTTTTTTAGCATTTTTGCATTAGCGTTTAGTGGCCTTTTGCCACATTTAGTGGCATTTTACCGTATTTTTCCGCGTTTGCGGTTTTTTAGCGTTTTTATTTTTTGGGGTCCAAAAACGCTGGTTTGTGGCATTTTACCGCATTTTATCGCATTTTGCTGCGTTTTTCAGCGTTTGTACAGCTGAAAAACTCCTCTAGAAAACCCACTAGTTTGGGGGATTTTTTTTCCAGCCAAAAAACATTCCGCCCAAAAAAAAAGTTGATTACAGTCTGTGTGTGCATGGACTCATAGGATAACATGCTGGGGAGTTTATTGACTATAGAAAAAAATGTCAAATTCCAAAAACAGCCGCTGTAAAAACATCCCGTGTGCATGAGGACGTAATATACCGTATTTTTCGCTCCATAAGATGCACTTTTTCCCCCCAAAAAAGGGGGGGGGAATGTCAGTGCGTCTTATGGAGCGAATGTAAAGCGGCCGGTCTGGTATTTCTGCTGCCACCATGTCAGAATATCGGGCCAGCCGCTCAGCTCTTCTCTCCAGCAGGACCTTACCTGTTCTTCGCTCCAGCGCTGCAGTCTTCCCGCGGCAGCTTCTGTGACAGCCGGGTGCCCACTGCGGATGCGCGAGAAGCGCCGCACTTTGTGAAAGGTCCGGTGTCTTCTGGGACACATGACAGGTCCCAGAAGGCTCCGGGCCATTCACAAAGCGCAGAGCTTCTCACGCATCCGCAGTGGGCACCCGGCTGTCACAGAAGCCGCCGCAGGAAGAAGAAGAGAGGACAACTCCGTGGAAGTAGGAGCGGGTACCTGTCAAATTCAGGTACCCGCTCCCCCTCCCTCCCCAAAGGTCCACAGTCTCTGGTAATCTCCTTTACTGTCTGCAGTCTCTGGTCATCCCCTGCACTGTCTGCAGTCTCTGGTCATCTGTACTATGTCCGCAGTCTCTGGTCATCTGTACTATGTCTGCAGTCTCTGGTCATCTCCTGTAGTATGTCCACAGTCTTTGGTCATTTCCTGTACTGTGTCCGCAGTCTCTGGTCATCCCCTGTACTGTGTCCGCAGTCTCTGGTCATCTCCTGTACTGTGTCTGCAGTCTCTGGTCATCTCCTGTACTGTGTCCGCAGTCTCTGGTCATCTCCTGTACTGTGTCTGCAGTCTCTGGTCATCTCCTGTACTGTGTCCGCAGTCTCTGGTCATCTCCTGTAGTATGTCCGCAGTCTCTGGTCATCTCCTGTACTATGTGCTCAGTCTCTGGCCATCTCCTGTACTGTGTCTGCAGTCTCTGGTCATCTCCTGTACTATGTCCGCAGTCTCTGGTCATCTCCTGTACTGTGTCTGCAGTCTCTGGTCATCTCCTGTACTGTGTCCCGCAGTCTCTGGTCATCTCCTGTAGTATGTCCGCAGTCTCTGGTCATCTCCTGTACTATGTCCTCAGTCTCTGGCCATCTCCTGTACTATGTCCGCAGTCTCTGGTCATCTCCTGTACTGTGTCTGCAGTCTCTGGTCATCTCCTGTACTGTGTCCGCAGTCTCTGGTCATCTCCTGTACTGTGTCTGCAGTCTCTGGCCATCTCCTGTACTATGTCTGCAGTCTCTGGTCATCTCCTGTACTGTGTCCGCAGTCTCTGGTCATCTCCTGTACTGTGTCTGCAGTCTCTGGCCATCTCCTGTACTATGTCTGCAGTCTCTGGTCATCTCCTGTACTATGTCCGCAGTCTCTGGTCATCTCCTGTACTATGCCTGCAGTCCATTGGTTCAGAATATTTTTTTTCTTGTTTTTCTTCTCTAAAACCTAGGTGCGTCTTATGGTCAGGTGTGTCTTATGGAGCGAAAAATATGGTAGATATAAACTCTGAGTGACACCAGGAGCTGTTTCAGACAGGTCATAATGCTTACCACCCTCTTAAAAGCAAACCACGATGGATCACTTTTCAGGGGGAGGTATATAGGAGTGGCTGGCAGGCATTCAAGAGGCACTACTGCCACCTCCTGTCACCTGCTTTTTTTTTTTCTTTTAATTGTTGATCTGCAATTTTACATTGCTGGACCATTTGGCTTGTAGTTGTGGTGCAGCCCACAATGGACAAGTTTTGCCTGTCATATTCAGCAGCCCAAAATAAAATTGCAGTGATGGCAGCATGTGTATAGCCCTGTCAGGCTGGAATTTCAGTGGGGGCCATGGGGATAGTAAAATCACAGCCTGTTTTTACTGCCCCCTGCCCCCATTCTGTAGGACCCCTTCGTTTTGCTAAAACCATGCATCATAAACAAATGCCTTATTTTTATTTATTTATTTTTTTTACTTTAACTTTATTTATTCACCACATCTTTTTTGTTGATCTCCTGCGGCCTCTTTTCAGCCACTTTCATGCACAGTAGCAATGGCTGCAGCCCATTTATCGGTTTACGTTTCCTGATAGTGACAACAACAGATGACGACTGCATAATATGTGTTGAAACAGCCTCTAGGGCAGGGGTGTCCAAACTGCGAATTTTACAACATGCCCAATCACCGAAAAGGGGAGGAACCATGAAAATCGGTCGGTGCCATTGACCCACTAACAGAGCGAAAATCGACTGATTATTCTTAGGGCCGACTTTCGGACGGAAAATCGGTCGAATTTGAACCCATGTACGGCCGGCATTACAAAAGGTAGGAATCTGCAACAAAGTTTGTTAAAATCCTCGTAATGTACATAGATCAGCTAGAGAGGAATGCTATTTTATCAACAAAAGTAGAGTTACTCTTTAAATGAATTATCATAGCTCTGCAGGTTCCTCATTAATGGTGGAAAGAAAATCCTGAAGCCAGGTAATGACGTCCCCCAGACTGTTGAGAAGACTTCCTCCTGGTAGGATCCTTGTAAGTGTAATAAGAGGATTTCTGTTTAGAAGGATGAGGGTTGGGCTAAAAAATTCCAACTTGCCCAGGGATGTGCTTCAACACATAATTTCACTGTGTTCCAGACAAATGCTGCTGCCTTTGTGACGGAAAAACAGGTAACAAAAAAAAACCTGCATTACTCCAAACAGGACATGAACAATGAGAACAAAGGTTCAAGGATAATCATCCATTGTGCTTCTGGAACAACCTGTAGGACGCAACAGATCTCTGCTCAGTCAGTCTGGAAACAATAATGTTTTTAGAATAAACCAGTAGAAATAAGTTATTTAAACAGCACTTAATTTTGTTCTGTTCAATGGTCTACTCATGTGTGTGTTGTAGCTGTACTCCTTTGATGACCTCTTCTCTTGGTTTGGTGACCCCAATTCACACAGACCCAGAATTAGCTACATTCTGCCCAACGGGTGACAATACTCCTGTCTTGACTGTCGCTCAGCCCAGTAATGGCAGTGTGGATGTAAGGGCACCAGGATGAGATGCACAGTAGATGTGACACAACTACAGCTACTCCTGGCTCCTCAGGGGCGTAGGTGAGAAATAAGTAAACTCAAGACACACCCCTCTCTGCACTAACAGGTCTCTAGTCTCGGCCGCCACACTACTTAAAGTGTTACTAAACCCAGGACCCTGCATTCACTATATCCGGTCTCCCCGGACCCTGCATTCACTATATCCGGTCTCCCCGGACCCTGCATTCACTATATCTGGTCTCCCCGGACCCCGCATTCACTATATCTGGTCTCCCTGGACCTTGCATTCACTATATCCGGTCTCCCCGGACCCTGCATTCACTATATCCGCTCTCCCCGGACCCCGCATTCACTATATCTGGTCTCCCCGGACCCCGCATTCACTATATCTGGTCTCCCCGGACCCCGCACTCACTATATCTGGTCTCCCCGGACCCCGCATTCACTATATCTGGTCTCCTATATCTGGTCTCTCGGACCCCGCATTCACTATATCCGGTCTCCCCGGTCCCTGCATTCACTATATCCTGGTCTGCCCGGACCCTGCATTCACTATATCCGGTCTCTCCGGACCCTGCATTCACTATATCTGGTCTCCCGGACCCTGCATTCACTATATCTGGTCTCCCCTCACCCTGCATTCACTATATCCGGTCTCCCCGGACCCTGCATTCACTATATCTGGTCTCCCCGGACCCTGCATTCACTATATCTGGTCTCCCGGACCCTGCATTCACTATATCTGGTCTCCCCGGACCCGCATTCACTATATCCGGTCTCCCCGGACCCTGCATTCACTATATCTGGTCTCCCCGGACCCTGCATTCACTATATCTGGTCTCCCCGGACCCCGCATTCACTATATCCGGTCTCCCCAGACCCCGCATTCACTATATCCGGTCTGCCCGGACCCTGCATTCACTATATCTGGTCTCCCAGGACCCTGCATTGCACTATTATCTGGTCTCCCCGGACAATTAGAGCATTCACTATATCCAGCAGAGCATTGGTTAAAGCTTGTAGGAGGAGTTTTCATTCTCCTATGATTGTCCTATGAGGCTGCTAACCCCTGACCCCGCATTCACTATATCTGGTCTCCCCAAGACCCCGCATTCACAATATATCTGGTCTACCCAGCTTGCCCCCACATTCACTATATCTGGGGTCTAGAAGAAGGGGAGGATCCACAGTACACACAACATGGAAGATTGCAATTAGTTTTGTAAATATGAATTGCTTACGTAATAAATACCTTTTACACTCATCAGCAATTAGAGCAGTCTTGTGACTTCTATCAGTGCCATCAGCAGAGCATAAGGTTAAAGCTTGTTAGGAGAGTGTTTTCATTCTCCCTATGATTGTCCTGTGAGGCTGCAGGCTGCATAATCCCCCTGACCCTCTGTCTAAAGGGACAGTGCTGATTGGTGTCTTGTGCTGATCACATGAACTCTCCCAAGAAAAAAGACTCTCTAGCATTTACACACCAAACTGAGCACGTGCAGCATTGCCCCCAAGACTCTGTTCTATCAGCAGATGGATTAGGCCTCTTGAGTTTACTGAAGGGGAGGATCAGAGAAGACAGGATTAAACAGCCTGTTTTTTATATGCTATAAAAGTGCCTGATTCAACTTTATGAACAAATTGCTTAGAAGATTAACCCCTTCTTGGTTCCACAGGGACTGAGTATAACAAGCATGCTTTACTGCATATACAGGCTGATTTTACTGTTATGAGTTTAGTAACACTTTAACATACAAGTGAGATGACCCTGCTGGACAATTCAATCCACTGTCATGGTCAGGGGTTAGGCTTAGAGACAGATCTATAACAGTAGACAGGCTCCCACCAACTAGCAGGTTAAGTACACAAGCAGGTCATCCTGGCGGGCTCCCTGGAGGCATGGGGTCTAAGCTCTAGCTGATACTCACCAGAGCTCCTGATGGTGGAGATGGGTTTTGCTGCCTGTTAGCACCAGGTCATGATCCTCAGAATTGCCCCACCAGGAGATGAGCAAGCCAGGGTCCAGTAGCAGACATACCAGGTAGGGATCAAGCAGAAGTGTAGTCAGTAGATAAGTCTATCTTTGGTATCAAGTGGTAGTAGGTTGGGATCAAGCAGAAGTGTAGTTGAGGAACAAGCCAAGGGTCGATAATGAATGGTTACAGGTGGGATTAAGTGGAAGCATAGTCAAGGAACAAGCCAAAGCTTGGTAACGAGTGATAGTAAGGACAACTGCAGGTACGCAAAGAAGAAAAATATTGGCTGGAGAGAGCACGATAATCTGGCAAACAGGAAGTTCAGAGACATGGCTAAAATCAGGAAGTTCATGGGAGGAGTAAAAAGTTCAAGGTTCACCGGAAACAAGAGACAAAGCAAGATTGTACTAAGGGATCAGACAAGGAGCTGTCCAGCATCATTGGTGGCACAGTGAAAAGAGCTGCAGCCAGACACTGCAGAAGTCGCAGGTTCAGATTTACACCCTGACATCCACAGCTTTCATATGCAAATGCTACTTAACATGATGATGAGAGGGCAATGGAAATGACAAAATAAAGCCCCGGGGCTATTAGATGATACTGTCATTTTATATATATTTAGCACTGTGACAGCAGTACTGTACTGCTCAACATTCATGACACAAACCAGAAGATCCCTAAGATGTTTCCTTGCCTGGGTCCTTTAACTAGTTTAGGACACTGGGCATGCTACACGTGCCCAAAAACACAGGACGTCCAGTGCTTCTGCCCTGCTGCTGCGGCACCCCCCTTCCCATTTGCCAGCGGTTCTTGGCTGTTAGGGTTTGTTTACATGAGCTGCAGTCCAGGAATGCATGCAAAATAGCACGTTTCACAGCGCCACACGTCTTTGTAACACGTGCCGGTACCATTAATTCTTAACAGCACCACCACGCATCTAGCAAACGTGGGCAGAGCTGCCTCGCCCAGTGTACACAGGTCCTTTCACTCCCTTTGCCATGTACAGGTACCACCCAGTCCCACCAGCTCAAGATGCAAAATTTTGAAGGAGACACCAAATTGCAGTGTCCCGTTCCACCAGTTAAGCTAGACTCCACCACCCATCTCCTAGTGACAGAACGTGTCTCGCCGGGAACCAGCGCAAACCCCATGCACAAGCATAATTAACTCTTCTGTACTATACGGCCTAGGTCCCTAGGATCTCTTCTGCGCTTGTCCCAGTTGCTGGGGTACCAACCACTTAGAAGGTAGGCTCTGAACTGATTCCCTCACTATACATGAGATCAGTCACCCTTGTTGGTACCATTCTTCCGGTGTCTGGCTGTGATATCATTCCCTTCCCTTGTGCTTGTTGCCCCTAGGAGCGGCTTGACACCACTTCACCCCATGTGTGCATTGCAGCCTTGCTCCTCCTCTTTATGTCATTACCACCATGCACCCTTTTAAGTAACTTCAGACCAGGCAGGACAAAGCTCTAAACATTTTACTTGAATAATGTGGCAAGATGAGTATCACAAGATAACAGTTCAACATAAAGGGTAGTCTTTCCCTAACATCCCTAGTTCCAAACTACAGGCTTGTGTGCTGCCCCAGCATACCTGCTTAGGAAAGTGTCCATGGCTGACATCTTCTGAAAGGAATGCAATCCAAGCAATGCCCCTTCACATGGAAGGCTCCAAGACACAGGTTTGTAGCAGCTTTGCTGAAATCAGGAACAGAAGCATTCTCCCAAATCATGCTGGCTGTCTGTGTCTTGTCTTCCCATGCAGCAGGCTGTGTGTTGTGGGACTACAGGTCTCAGAAGCCCCAGGTATGGTGGCAGGCTCCTCAGGCAGGCCATCACCAGTGAGGACTGTCAGGATGAGAAGGTAGCTGAAGGCAGAGAGGGACAGAGCCCTTGGGTGGTTGCTGAAGGATTGGATTACATAGCGGCTGTCAGCCTGTCTTCTCCCCATGTGGCTGGACTGGACTCATCTGAGCAGAGCTCCCTCCTGATTGTATGTGCACAGGGAGGGGGGGGGCTACACTACAAATAGAGAGGCACAAAATAAAATTGTTACTTTTTTGTCTACTCTGTTGGTTAAAGCAACCAGACAAAAGCTATTTTTTGGTCTGTGTTTAACCCCTTTTTAACACTTAACCCCAATTAACTACTTCTTCTCCCTTTCAACTATTTTGCTAACCATTAATATCTATGTGTCAAAGCCTGAGATTGAACCTGGGCCTTCTGCAGTGAGAGGCAATGTTTCTTCTCACTGAGCTACCTGGGATGCTGGACAACACTCTGCCTGATCTATTGGATGATCCTGCCTTGTGCCTTGTTTTCTCTTGAACCTTGAACTCCTTGCTCCTCCCATGAACGTCCTATAAAAGCCATGTCCATGCACTTCCTCCTTGCCAGATTATTGTTGCCTTCCCAGCCAATATCCCGCTTTTTGTTCCTGCTGCCGGCTACATCTTTGCTATCAACCTTTGGCTTGCCACTGACTACGATTTTGCCTCATCTGCTACCATTTGTGACCGACCCTTGGCTCGTGACTGACTCCGCTTCTGTTTGATCCCTAAACTGTTTGATCCACTATTGGTTTCCAGCTTGCTCATTCCCTGGTGGGGTGATCCTGAGATCTGTGACCTGGTATCAACACGCAGCCAAATCCATCTCCACCACTAGGAGCTCTGGTGAAAACTGGTTAATACTTACACCCTGCACCTCAGGTGAGCCTTTCCCAGGGTGACCCGCTGGTGTACCTATCCTGCTGGTTTCAGGTGAGCCTTTTACTGCTATAGCAACTGGTCTCTGAACCTGACCCAGACCGTGACACTATGTTTTGTTCAATAATTTATTTGTGTCTCTTTAACTGCTTCCCAATGGCCCTATAGCAGAAATACTGCTACAGGGAGGCACAGGTGTGCAAAATCACGCGTGTGTGTGTGTGTGTGTGTGTGTGTGTGTGTGTATATATATATATATATATATATACAGTCAGGTACATAAATATTGGGACATCAAAACAATTCTAACATTTTTGGCTCTATACACCACCACAATGGATTTGAAATGAAACAAACAAGATGTGCTTTAACTGCAGACTGTCAGCTTTAATTTGAGGGTATTTACATCCAAATCAGGTAAACGGTGTAGGAATTACAACAGTTTGCATATGTGCCTCCCACTTGTTAAGGGACCAAAAGTAATGGGACAATTGGCTTCTCAGCTGTTCCATGGCCAGGTGTGTGTCATTCCCTCAATATCCCAATTACAATGAGCAGATAAAAGGTCCAGAGTTCATTTCAAGTGTGCTATTTGCATTTGGAATCTGTTGCTGTCAACTCTCAAGATGAGATCCAAAGAGCTGTCACTATCAGTGAAGCAAGCCATCATTAGGCTGAAAAAAAACAAAACAAACCCATCAGAGAGACAGCAAAAACATTAGGCGTGGCCAAAACAACTGTTTGGAACATTCTTAAAAAGAAGGAACGCACCGGTGAGCTCAGCAACACCAAAAGATCCGGAAGACCACGGAAAACAACTGTGGTGGATGACCAAAGAATTCTATCCCTGGTGAAGAAAACACCCTTCACAACAGTTGGCCAGATCAAGAACACTCTCCAGGAGGTAGGTGTATGTGTGTCAAAGTCAACAATCAAGAGAAGATTTCACCAGAGTGAATACAGAGGGTTCACCACAAGATGGAAACCATTGGTGAGCCTCAAAAACAAGAAGGCCAGATTAGAGTTTGCCAAACGACATCTAAAAAAGCCTTCACAGTTCTGGAACAACATCCTATGGACAGATGAGACCGAGATCAACTTGTACCAGAGTGATGGGAAGAGAAGAGTATGGAGAAGGAAAGGAACTGCTCATGATCCTAAGCATACCACCTCATCAGTGAAGCATGGTGGTGGTAGTGTCATGGCGTGGGCATGTATGGCTGCCAA